AACAAGACAATTGTTTATAAAAAAATTCTATTCAATCGGTAGAAAACATTGAAAACAATGTTTTTGTTTGAATTTGGGTTTGACCAATTCGTAAAAAAAAAAAAAAATAATTAAGACATATGTGTCCGTCAACCTTAGACAATAATCTTTGTCAATTTTATTTTTCAGTCTTTATGATGGTCGATACTTGATCTATCTCTTACAGTTACATCCCCAGGCAACGCAGGGCTCTACTGCTAGTGTGTGTATATATATATATATATATATATATATATATTGAGTTGCGTTGATGTGAATTTGTAATACTTGGTTTCACATCCTTTGCAATCATCAAACAAACTGATTAATTTTGAAATTTTGGATTTATTTATGGTTGCATATATCGGTGTTTTATGGTAGTGGAAGGAAAAATTGTTGTCAGAATGCTACTCATACGTACACAAACACACATACACGCACATTCACGCATTGTAGCTCACACTAACATAAACATATATGAACAGTGTGGAACTGGGTGCATCCATGCATTGTTGCATGCATACATACACAACTGTATTCAGCGTTAGAATTGTGTAGCAAATTTTTTCCCAAATGGTGGTGTCAACTTATAGATCGTCTATCTATTTTGTTCATGGAATAATATTTTCTCGCACACACATATACATATGCACATGCATTCACACACCTTCTATTGGTTTGGGTTTTTTTTTTGCATTACTTAAGATGGGGTCTGTGTAAGAATATGGTAGATAAATTTGTTATTATTTTTTAACTTTTAATACTGTTTTGTTATTATTTTTAATGCTGTTTATTTGCTTGTTTTGGGCGATTACACTCATGTAAATGGTAGAAATTCTAATTTATAATACTTACTGGTATTTATGAGGTGGTATTAATTTTGCTGGGATGGGGAGTATAATTGTAGACTAATGCGACAATGGTAATTGTGGTGGTGAAATAGTGGGAATGAAATAATGGTTGCAATGTTGAGATAAGTGGAGATAAATGGTAAGAAAGATATGATAATTACAATAATAAATAAATTAATAGTAAGACTGAAATAATATTTACAATATTGGGGGCAATGACAGTGGTGAACTGTAATTAGAGTGGTGACAGTTTTTGGGGGTGATATTGGTGCAGTAGTAATGGTGGGACTATCGGATGATGGTAATAACAGTTGTAGCAGCAAATAGTTATGGTAAAAATGTTAGAAGTGATTGTAGTAATGGTGGTAGAATGATAATAACAATAATTATTATGATGGTAGTTTGAGTTAAAAAAATAATTGATGGTGTTATGGTGTCAGTGGTTTCTCTTTTCATATTCATAGGCTCAATGGTGGTTTATGTAGCAGAGTTAGTTGGTATTTTTTTTTATCTGTTTGGTATAAATTGTGATAATAGGTATTTGTTTTCATGTCTGCATTTAGAAGAAGGAGTTCTGTTACCCTGATTTATGGGTAGACAAAACATGTACTCAGAGTATCATGCATCTCCTATGTTTGTGAGTGTCCCACAACCTACTCTACTGACTGTTATCCTCTTTCCTCAATAGGAGTAGATAGCACATTTCTATCTGGTTCACACTTCTCTTGAGTCTTTTAAACAGAAGTAGAGGTTTATCTCTTATTATCTGTTTAGGATTGAGTTTCCAGTTCCTTCTAAAGCATTTTCATTATGTAACCCTCTGTTGCAAGTGGCTTTTAAGACTTTACACCAGGTGAATATTATTGTAATGTGTAAATCTTAAGACAATAGGTGACCATAATATATATTTTTCATACATAAAACTAAAAGCAATTAAAAGCTCTTCTAATTAAATTTACTCCTGCTTAGTAATGTGGATCAGTGAAACAAGGTTAAAATGGCACCTGATGTACAAAACAACCTCAAGACCATCGTTAACTGCGGCAAAAGATGACTTGTCAATTATAACACCTCCAAAACCAAACTTCTCTCTGTTAATCATCTGAGAGACCTTTCTCTGCCTTCTATCAGCATGGTTGATGCTATCCTCTAAGAAATTGACTCATTGTGCCTTCTTGGGCTGACATGAGGTGGAAAGACTACATCACTAGGTCAGCTGCTAAAAAAGTCAGTTCACTGTGTCGGGTGAGACAATTTTTCTCTCCAGAATCTGTCTTGCATCTCTATGTTTACCCATTTATCCATGCTTAGAATATTGCTACTGTATATGGTCTGGTGCCCCTGCTCTTTTTCTGGAGTTCTTTGCTAAGCCAAAATAAGAATCAGCAATATTATTGGTCCTGATCTGGTAGCTCAACTTCAGTCATTTACCCACCACAGTAAGGTTGCCTTTCTGTAGCTTTTTTATAAATAGTTTCATGGTATTTGTTTGGATGAGCTCTTCACTATGGTACCTAGCTGTATGAATTTAAGCACAATACTAGACTGGTTGCAGGATCATATCAATTTCCAATTGAGTTATCTAGATGTAGCCATAACTTTTATGCTAACAGTTTCTTATCTCACACTTGTGGAACTCACTCTCAGCTCCATGCTAACCAACCAACTTTAATCTGCAAAAATTTAAGTGCAATGTCAATTTCTATCTCTTGTCCTCCTGACTGCACTTTTATCTTTCTCCTGATTACTAATGTTTCTGTTTTCTAAATCCTCCACACCCTGTAACCACTTGTGTATTAGTGGCTGTACTGCCTTATTTAGGATGATACCAATTAAAAAATTAAAAAAAATGTCTTAGCTTTATTGAATTTTTTATTTTATGATTCAGAGCAGATTTTCTGTAACCCTACCATTCAAAATTCAACCAATCTGTCACTGGGTGAAACAAATTTTTACCGCTTAGAGAAGCAATGTTCATCTAAATCACTGTTACTGTTGTGTCCACTAAAATATCAAATACAATATTTATAAACCAATCACACTCAAGAAAACACTTACATCTTAAAACACACCAATAAAATTATAGATTACAAATAAGAATTTTTGTTGTATTAGTCATCATTATTTTTAGGTAGATACCGACCAAATATCGTACAGACGTAGTAGAAGACATACCACGTGCCCTTTTAGGGCCAATTAAGAATAAATAAATAATTTAATTCTGGAGCCGATTTTGTTCAGAAAAAGTGTATAAAAACATATGGAATCTGTTCCCAAAGAGGGATACACGCGGCTGTCACTAAACTCCACACAACTCTCGCTGATGATCTTCATGACCTCATGATAAAAGCGACAGCGTTGACAAACTTCAGACTACGGCAACACCACCAACAGTAAGAAACAATTCCTATCTCTCATATCTGTTTTTACTATGAATCATGCACACACATGTTGACTTTTTCATACAAACACACATATCACATTTTATTGTTTCTCACATACGTACACAAAGAGAATTTAGATTTTATTTCAGAACTTTATCAACCCAAACATAAAGACATTACTTTCCAATCTATCATCAACTGCTTGTATTCTTGTCACTATAAATTAATGTTTATTTGTTGAAACTATGTTGTCTTTTATACTGAATTTTATTCCTTCAATGAAAATCATGATTATTCTAGACGGTCAAATTACGAGCGACCCTGTAACGATATTTTGTTAATGTATTGAATCCCGACACCCAAATTTTAACATTCAACAAAAACCAAGTAAAAGGATTCCTATAATTTAACCACTGGTTTTTTTTTTTTTTTGGCTTGTTTTTTTTTTTTGTTTTTTTGCCATCTCGGCCTACATCGCCAACATGCCACTACTAGAAATTCAAATTCCATTATAGGAACTGGTGGTCCTGTTTGATAAAAAAAATTGATGATTTAAATTCTCTAAGGAATTGTCCTCATAACATTTGATTTAAAACAAAATTTAATTAAAACAAAAAAGAATTGATCAAGACGAAAAATTTCCTAAAATTAAATAAGTGGGGGTTAACATGTAAAAGTAAATAAAAAATATTTTTACAAAGATTTTCTAAGAAACGGATATTTAAAAAATAATTTGTTAATAAGTCCTGAAAGTTTCATTAAAATTCGACAATTTATTTTTGCAAGAATTTCCAAATCAGTTTGGACGCTAAACGTTCCCATACTAATTTATGGTCATCTGCTGACGCAAGAAAAACAAAGGTTCTAAAAACTAAAAGGATCAAAAAAATATTAATAATATTAAAACCTTCGTTTTTCCTGTATAACAAAGTTTTCATTTTGACTTAAAAACTTAGTTTTTTGCCCAAATTTTTCACCATGTACGCGGTTAACTTTTAGCCAGCGAATGATTTTGGGAAATCTCCCCTCTTACCTACCTAACTAACTTAACGTAAATCTTTCTTTATACACTGGTTCATTTTCAATGCACTGTTGTAGTGTACACAATGTTCCTGTTGGTTGAGTGAGTGTTTATCATGTGTTAAATAAAATAAAAATGTCGATTTGTTTACGTTTTTCAAAAAAATCTTTTTTTTACACCATAAAATATTTCAAGATATTGGTCTCTAACTTTTCTATTAAAAGCTAAAAAAAACATTTATTCATACCAAATATTTCCTTTTTCAGTGTTTGTAAAATCGTAAGAAATTTCAAAATTTAAAATACGAAGGAAATTTTTTGATGTAAGCCCATTTCAAAGAAACACATAAACTAATGATGTAATAATCTCAAGTGCACACAAAATGCTTACATTTTAACATGCTCAATCGGCCATCTTTGTTATCATCGTAGTTTGTAATCATATCCCGTCTTGTAACTGTTTCTCTCTTATGAGTCACTTCAGACTCCTTTTTCTTGTATTTGTTTGTGCGACTACCAATTTCCTGGAGAGAAGAAGAAAAAAAGATCGTGTATTTAAAAGAAACGAGGTTATCTTTGTCTTGTAGTGTGACAAAATTATATAAACTAAAGCTGATGCGTTTTTGTGCATAATTAGTCTGTCGAGTCAGCTGTTATTTAAAGGGTGACTACTTTAAGAAAAAAAAAAAAAAAATAAAATAAAATTTAAAAAAAAAAAAAAATACCCATGGACGATCAGGACATCCTCACCACTCTCAAGATTCTTATCATTGGAGAAAGTGGAGTGGGGAAATCAAGGTAAATATTTCAAACACTACCTTACTTTCTCCAACCTGTGTGTCTATTTACCAAAATACTTTGAAATTCTCTTAATTCAAACTTTGAATTAAGAGAAATTCTTTGATCGTTCATTTTTTAGTTACTTTTAAAATAAATTAACCATCACTATATTCATATATTCAAGTAGTAACTTAGTAAATTAATGGCAGAAATTACAGAATATGTATTGTAGAATAAAAAGTAGCTTCTTTTTTTTTTTTTTTAACTTTTTTTTAGTCAACGGAGCACGAGCACGCCTCTTGTGAGTTTTTTTTTTTTTTTAAAACCAAATTTTAAAAAAAGTCATAATAGAAATACGAAGTTATTTTTTAAATCCCTTATTATTTCCAGTGTATTCTCTTTTAATTTTAGACAGTCACTGAAAAATGAAAATGATTGTTACAATTTCTCCTGAAACAAGCATTTTGTAATTAACAAATTGAATGTAGTTTCAAGCAGATATTTTTAGAGAATAATACTAGTTTTAGTTAGTAATTGTTTTAGCGAATTTTTGCATAAAGTCCAGAGAACATGACAAATTAATCGTGATTTCTAAAACATTCCTCATTGGACATTTGCTTAATCGTAGTTATTAATTTTTTTAATATGAAATTACTTTTTTTTTTATTTGTTGTATAACGGGATGTGAACGACAAGCATGTATTGTAACTTAATAATTGGTAGGTTAACAAACATGGACTCGGTACCGTATTGGCTATGTAAAAAAAAAAAAATAGGTTTTACTGGAATTTAGTTTTAAATCCATTTAAAAAAAAAACAAAACACTATTTTACTATTTTATTCTTTACAATTTATTATCCGATTTGACTATTGCTTATGTTTTCAAATATTTTAATTTACTGTTAGATAGGAAAGGAAATGTTTTTTTCTTTGTTGAAACTTGACTACAAACTAGCAATATTTTTTACTCATAATATATTTATTACTTATACTCTTTAAGAGCTTACACTTACTATTTTGCTCAAATGAGTCAAGTTGGTACATTATTACTTCATTATGAGCTGCTGTTTGAATTTAAAAAAACAAAAAAAAAACAACATTCTGGCAAAAAGTTGCATTTTCTATAAATATTTTTTGTTGACAAACCAAAACCAGATAGTTAAAAAACGCTTATTCATCAGCATACAATTCTACTAAAACACACTTTAAATAAAAACTTCATCATTAAATTTTTGTGGGAGAGGAGAATCTCTACACCAAATAATTTGGTCTAAATTAAAGTTAAAAATGTATTAATGTAGAATTGCTTTTAGTCAGTCTGTTCACGTTTCGTTCGTTGTTAACAATCGAGTCGTACATATTTTTTAAATTTTATTTTAAAAAATAATAGTGGAAGTTTTCAAGAACATTGATATTATTAAAGAATTAAGAACAAAAATTACATTTGATTTTTTTTGCCAAAGTACATTTTCATTATTTTCAAATACTGAAGTAAACTTTAAAGCCTTTAGTTTAAAGCGACAGGGTGTTTCAATATTTTAAAAAAAATAACAAATCGAAAAAGAAAGCATTCTTTTTAAAACTCCCCATTTGTTCGTCAAGGATCTTCTCACCTAGCAATTACTGTAAAATTAAAAAGTTAGACAGGAATATCATAAATCTGTAAATTTTTTATTTTTTTTATTTTTCGTTTTAAAACTAGTGTAGTGTAAATTAAAAAGTTAAAACTGTAATTTTCCTTTACTTTTTCATCTATTCGATTGATTAGGGATTCATCTCAATCTTTAAAAAAATCGTACCGCCAAAATTTGAGCTAAAAAAAAATATATAAATTATATGTCTCATACATTTTTATTTCTAGTAAGTAAAATTTTGATTAAAAAGCTGAAAACATCGTTCGTATTTCAATAGGATATTTTTTAAATAAAAAAATTTCTTACGGTCAATTTATCAATCCGACATAATTTAAAATAACAAAAAATTTAAGACATTTTAAAAAATCTCTTAAAAAACAAATATTTAATTTATCCTAAATATTAATTTCAAAGAGAATTAATAAAATTACGGATTAATTGACAGAATTTTGAGAAGATGGGGTAGGGCAAGGTATCCCAAAAGAAATTCATAGATCAAGCAATAACGGTTACCTCCTATAACCCCCAATTTAAAAAAAAAAAATAATATCTGGATCGAATTTTTAATTTAATACGAAAGACCAAAACGACCAACTTACAGAAACGGAAACCCTTTTTGGGTAATTTGTAGTGTAATTCCTGCGCTCAATTTCTAATCAAAATTTCCCGAATAGGTCAATTTAGGTGTCACTGTAGTGTAGTGTAAATGTACATGCTTAATTCGAAAATAACGAAGGAAATCTACCGTTTTGGAGTTATCGACAATAAAAGTTCGGACTCATTCGCGTATTTTACAGCACGGCATATTTATACTGGCGTTGTTTACCGTCATTGCCTATATATAATTATTCGGAATATATATTTATCTTGATTAATAATGTGCACGCAATGCACAAACTTTGCGCGAAATTTAAAAAGAGCATGATTATTTACAAATTAAAAAAATGCTAGAAAGGAAGTAATAACAGGAACAAATTTAAGGTTCAAAGTATGTTTATTAAGTTCCTTAAAATAAAATTTCATTAGTATTACAATTTGTTTTATTATTTAATTATTATTTGTTTTATTATTAAAAAAAAAAAACTCTTGTCATTACTTTTCTAAATAACTTAAACAAATTTACCAAAATCCCTAAACCTACTCCTAACACTAATCCTTGCACAGTAATTGAGATGAGTAAGATCAGTAAAAAGGAAATTAACTAAGATAAGATTCTGCAAAGAAATTGACATAAAGTGATTTAATACAGTGGGCTATAAGATTTTAGCCACCCTAAATTACAGCAATTTTGGCTTGTGTAATAACATTTTTTTTCCAGACAGTACTGTGTTAGTATCATGCTACTCTAATCTATGAATGATAGTTGACTTATATTTTGCAATGAAAGTTCACGAAAGTAAGAAAATTGGTGAATTTCAATGAGGGCAAGTAATAGGATATCATCAGTGTGGCAAGTCAAATAGAGAAATTGCTAGGTTTTTCCAGGTTAATCATCAAATGGTTAATAATATTGTCAAGAAATTAAATGAAGAAGGCCATTGTTGTGTGGAACAACATTCAGGAAGACCAAGCATTGTGTCTGAGTGAATGAAAAGAGCACTGAATAGGGAAGTCATCAGAAACTGTCATCAGTGTGTCAAAGATGTCACCAACAGCATGGAAATGTTGCCATATGTGGTGAGAAAGACTCTGAAAGAACTAGGCTATTAAAGAAGAGTTGCAAGAAAGAAGCCCTTGATTTCAGAAGTTAACAAGAACAAGCATATAGACTGGGTGAGAGAATTTGAGAGCAAAGATTATTGAGACAGGTTTATGTTTGGAGAAATCAGAATGAGACTTGGAACACTGAATGTCTGCAGGCAACCGTGAAACATAGAGGGATTGGAGTAATGGTGTGGGACACTGTCTGGTTTGGATGGAAATCTGAGCTGATTCTTGTTGATGAGTGGTTTAATGGTCCAAAATACTGTCAAATATTAAAGAACTATTTGAAACCAATCAGATTGACCTTTTATCAAGATGAAGTGCCATGTCATGTGAGTAAAGTAGCAAATGCCAGGAGGGAATCAGAAGGAATCAAGTCACTGCCATGGGTAGCCTAAAGTCCTGATATAATCCAATAGAGCATGTTTGGGGGCACCTTCATCGAAAACTTAGAATGTGCAACCAAAATCGCGTCAGTGGCAAAATATGGATCAGACGATTGTCGATAACTTTATCAAATCCATGAAAAATCGAATACAAGCACTGAAACTAGCAAATGGAGGACCTACTCTATCCCAGTTTCAAATACTGTTTATGTCAAATAGGGATTACGTAATTAAATTATGAAATTGGATGTAGTTTATTTCTCCTGGCTAAAATTATTTTAGGCCACTGTATGTAAACAACATCAATGATGGACATGAATGAGTCCAAACTTTTATTGTTAATAACTCCAAAACACTAGATTTTTAGCAAAATTCTTTTACTTTCAAATTAAGCATGGGGATTAAACTGCAAATTATTCCCATAATGTTTCTAGTATAAGGTAGAGAAATATATTTTTTATTCCATAATTAAATATTTCTTTATGCAACTTGGAATATTTTTATATTAATAGAAATATGAAAATATTAAAGAAAAAAAGTAATTATTTAATTTTTTTTTTTTTTTTTTTTTTTTTTTTTTTTTTTAACTATTTGGCATTTATTCTTTATTTTAACTATTTGATATCTGAAATATTTATCTTCACCAAATTGGGTCTTTTTAAATCATTTTAAGAAAATTTATTAAAGAAAATGCTACTAGAAACTGGAGAAAATTGGTAAAGTCCTTAATTTAATTGATACAGTTGTGATTGCTTTCATTTTGCTTTCTTTCAGCTACCAATGTCAAAATATTCTAGATCTCTCCATATATAATTATTTCTAACCTTCTATAAACAGTATGAAGGTAATTCAGAATTGTTGAATTATTCCCTATTTAATTTTCTATGCAAAAAAAATAATGTAACAGTTGTGAAAATAATAAATAAAATTATTTTAAATATATATTTGATATGAAAGTGGCATCAGTCTTTACATTTTCAGTCACATGTCATCAGCAACTTTCAATGAAAAATTGCAAGTAAATTTAAAAAAAATAAATATTGTAGTTTTTTTTCGAGTAAAATTTGAAAGAAAATAATGTGTTTTATTAAATTATGCAATCACCAACTCAACAAAAATTATTTTTTGAATATTATGGAATTTTTGTAAGGCTTCAGGACAAATTTTTTTTCTGATATTGCCAAAGTTGAAGATATTACTTACGTAATATCTTCAAGGATTTTTCTTTATAAAACCATGAAAAGTATTTGTTGCCACCTTCCAATTTTAAAAGTATTCACAATGTATTGAAATG